GAAGCATATTATTTTTCTCTTTAGTCCCCTGTTTCTATCAAAGACAAATTGTAGTAATCAATTTGTGTGCAAAGTAACTTTTAGTCTTATTGTATGTGGCCTGATTATTTGCATAAAGTGCAATGAGAATAGTGATTGGCCATATAGACTCTTTTATTTAAAAAATGGCTTTGCTGGAACTTTTTAATAAGGAATCTTAGACTTTTAAAAGCCTCAAGGCTATGCCTATAATACTTGTATGAATGGGTATATTCCTCTCTACCTTTTAAAAAAAAATTTATTATATTAAATTTTTTAAAAGTGTTTTATATCCCACCCTTCCAATAGAAGCCTATCTTTTTTTTTTCTTTTGTTCTTTTTTTAAGAGACAGAGTCTGTTGCCCAGGCCAAAGGATAGTGGGGTGATCACAGTTCCCTGCAACCATTAACTCCTGAGCTCAAGTGATCCTCCTGTCTTAGTTCCCTGGATAGCTAGGACTACAGGCATGCACCACAATCCTCAGCTAAATTTTTTCATTTTTACAGAGTCGGGGTCTCACTGTGTTGCCCATACTGGCCTCAAACTCCTGGCCGTGGGCCAGGTGTGGTGACACACGCCTGTAATGCCCGCACTTTGGGGAGACCAGCCTGGGCAACATTGCAAAACCCTGTCTTTACAAAAAAGAAAAAAAAAAAAAAGATCAAACTTTTGACCTCAAGGGATCCTCCTGCCTTGGCCTCCCAGAGTGCTAGGATTATATATAGGCATGAGCCACATGCCTGGCCTAGGCTTTCCCTAAACTTAGAATACAGTTGAAATCATTTATTATGTCCACAAAGCCTTTTAACTTTTTTTTTTTTTTTTTAATGGTGTCTTACTCTGTCACTCAGGTTGGAGTGCAGTGGAGCAGTCTCAGCCCACTGCAACTTCTGCCTTCCAGGTTCTAACGATTCTCCTGCCTCAGCCTCCCAAGTAGCTAGGATTACAGGCACACACCACCATGCCTGACTAATTTTTGTATTATTAGTAGAGATGGAGTTTCACCATGTTGGCCAGGCTAGTCTTAGACTCCTGACCTCAGGTGATCCACCCACCTTGGCCTCCCAAAGTGCTGGGGATTACAAGTGTGAGCCACCGCGCCCAGTCTTTTTTTTTTTTAAATCATATTTTGACCCTTGACTAACAACTTTGCTCAATATTCTCATCTATAAGATGAGAATGCTAATAGTACCGATCTTATAGAATTGTTTTTTAAGGAGTCATTGGATTAGTATATAAATTTACGCACTTAGAATGACGCCTGGTACATAATTAAGAACTCAGTATAGGGTTGTGCTGCTGCTGCAGTCCAACTTCACTGTCTCTTCTGATCTTCAAACAGGCCTTTGTCATACACCCACTATTTCGTCTACTGGAATGCTCTTCTCCCCAGATCTTGGCAATCTGTTTTCCTTTGATCATTTAGATTCTAAATCAAATACCTACTCCTAGGGGAGGCTTTCCTTGACCACTCTTCTATTTCATTACTCAGCTTTGTTATAGTACTCATCGCTAATTGAAATTTTCACATATATTTTACTTATTTTATATCTACCTCCAGCCCCTATGCCATGAGCTACTTAACAGTAGAGACTTAAGTGCCTGTAGGTGGCAGGTGGTAAAAATGTTTTTCGAATGAAACTCAACAACCTCCAAATCAGAATGCTTTTCTTTCATTTCAGGCAAGCTGAAAAATTATAACCACAGTTTCAGAGATTGCTCATCATTTTAACTAGATGTTTCCCCCCTTTCTATCCATGTATCTGGTTCTCCTTAGAGAAGGCAGATTCTCTAGACATTATTCACTATAATTGTTCTCTGGGCTTTTATTCAGGAGTTTTCCTGTCCCTTGCTGGTGTCTTGCTGAGATTGCAGGATATAGATCAGTTATATTTGCTTTCCATGTTGCTCCTTGCTTAACCCTCCCAGCTTATTTAACTTATTATCTGTTTTAAATAGTCCCTTACATGGGCCTCTATAGTTGGAGAGAAATCAAAATATCAGAAATCTGTTAGAGGAAGTAAATGTGTAAGAAAACATAAGGAAAGATTCTTGAAACCAGTTCAGTTGCTATTAATAGTTTTTCTGACATCATGCAAATATTTCAATCACCAGAAGCACTTTCTGCTTCAAAACTGAAAATATTTAAAAATAGTGTGATACTGGCATAAAGCAGACAAAGACCAATGGAATAGAATAGAGAGCTCAGAAATAAACCTTCACATATATGGTCAAATGATTTTTGACAAAGATGCCAGGACCATTCAGTGGGGAAAAGTATAGTCTTTTCAATAAATGGTCTTGCAAAGACCTGTATCTGAGAACTAAAATTATAAAATCTTTGGAAGAAAGCAGAACAACTTCATGACATTGAGTTTAGCAGTGATTTATTGGATTTGACACCAAAAGTTGAGGAAACGAAAGAAAAAATAGATAAAGTGGATAACATCAAAATTTAAAACTTTTGTTTTAAAGCTGGGTGTATTGGTGAGGTGCCTGTAATCCCAGCTGCTCTGGAGGCTGAGGCAGACAAATCGTGTGAACGCAGGAGGCTGAGGTTGCAGTGAGCCGAGATTGTGCCACTGCACTCCAGCCTGGGCGACAGAGCGAAACTCCATCTTAAAAAAAAGAAAAAAGAACTCACTCTGTCACCCAGGCTGGAGTGCAGTGCTATGATTGTAGCTTACTGCAGCCTCAAACTGAACACAATAGATCCTCCTGCATCAGTTTCCCAAGTAGCTGGAACTACAGGCATATACCAGCATGCCTGGCTACTTTGTTTTTTGAGACAGAGTCTCACTCTTGTCTCCCAGGCTGGAGTACAAGGGCATGATCTCAGCTCACTGCAACCTCCATGTCCCAGGTTCAAGTGAATCTTCTGTCTCAGCCTCCCGAGTAGCTGGGATTACAGATGCTCCCACCACCACGCGTGGCTAATTTTGTATTTTTAGTAGAGACGGAGTTTCACCATGTTGGTCAGGCTGGTCTTGA